TAGCCTCCCTGTGGGTGGTGGAAACTGAACCCAGGTCCTCTGCAAGACCAGTGCTCTTAACCACTAACCCATCTCAATAGCTCCTTGTACATGGAATTTTATGAAATGTTCAGTACATTATCTATCATATATCAATAAGTAAAAGTAAATAAATAAAATGTGTGATTCTTTAAGAAACGTGTATTTAGTGCCCATTTTGTCATGATTTTTTTGTGACATATAAGATTTAAATTTTATGGGAAAGCATAGTTTTTCATTGCTGCAAGCTCTTAGTATTTCTGTTTTCTTCTAGCTACTTTTGACTTGATGGGAATCATTTTTCATTAGAAAGATGACCTGTGGTTAGTATTCAAATCATAATCCAATTAAAAAAATCTAGTTCAGTTTTTGATGAAGTTGCTAGACACAGATATAATTCCTGGTGCAAAACAGTATCTGATTAACCAAGATATGATCTGTGCATATACACAACTTAGCTATAGAACTCTCTATAAACTACAAGGGAGAAAGTCTACAGGAGAGAGACTGGTTCCATGACTGTCTTAGAAATGTTCAATACAAAAGACCTGTGCAGGAGAAGGTCTTATTCTGGTGATCTTGGGACCTAGAATGTAGTCAGCACCATTTGTAGGATGGCCATGCACACATGCCTCTGAACCTCACTGGAAAACCCCACTTTTGCTCCTTCTTCACCTTTCACTCAAAGAAGATCTTTTTGTTTTGATTCTTTTGTTGTATGGAGTGAATACAAGGGAAGGCAACTGACTGATTCTTTTTTTGTACATTGTAGTTATATATTTTTTCCAATGAATTAAACCAGGGAAAAATTGCTGGAGAAGTAAGTGAAATTCCTAGTGTTAATATACCTTTGAATAATTAATTGTTTCATGCTATAGTTAGGGGCAAATATGTTGTTGTTTTGGAGTTTGGAAGGAGACCAATCCATCAATTACCCCCTTTCATAAAGGATACCCCATTTTAGCTTCACTAAATTAGCTTAATTAGAAATGCAAAGGCCTCCCTCCCTACTGAGAGTGCCCAAATATTTTTAGAGAGTAATCTATTTGTGTTACAACTGTCTATTTAAGGAAGCAATTGACTTGCAGAGAAACATTAACTATCCTGTTATGATCTGTAGCATTACAATGCCACATTGCAGTTATACCTGGGTAAAAAGCCTGACTCTTAATTTAGTTTTTAAGACTGAGCCTGTACTCGGGAGGGTACCCCTTCCCCCAGATGTCTCCTAAAACTGTGCCCTTGAGTCAGGTATAACTCATATTTTCACTCAAAACCATTTTTCCAACATTTGTTTTGGAGAACTACTTGGATCCACCTTTATTTTATAAGACAATCTTGCCCTTAGATCTCAAGGCCTAGAACATCTCATACACACAATGTCAAGCATCTTCTCAGTCTTCACTGTTTTCAGCGAAGATGTTCTGCCTTTCAGCACTTTGATTTGTTAGTTCTCAATCGTACCTACATTCATTCACTGTCATGGGTAGAACAGAAAACTACGGTTCCAAGAAATCAAGGCCAGGTTCCCATGTCACAAGAGCACATGGTTCAGTGAGTTTGTTTGCTCTAGTTTTTCAGTTAAAAGGTTAATTAAAAATCATCGATCCAGATTCAGGTCTAGCCATTTTGTGCCATACCTACAATGATCCTTACTAGCCACATGCTTGTAGCCTTTATAGTACCCATGTACATGTGTATTATGTGTGTGGTTTCTAACTCAGAGACTGTGCTGAAGAATGAAAACATTCAACACAAACGGAACCAAGAGTATAAATTGTTTGAACATGATCTTTTCCTGCAACCAAATCTAATTGGAGATTTGATGAGAACTCACAGTCATCTGAGTTTAGGGGTAGGAAGAAGGATGGCTACTTTCTGGTAACTATAGGCTTGGGTGTGTTGCCTGTCAGTAGGACTGAGCTGAAGGAAGACCTGACCATTCATTGATACTCTGCGTTTGTGTCTGAAGTGAGCACACCCTCCTGCCTTGTAACTCCCAATAGTTATTATCAATCCAAACCTTTCAGTGCATATAAACTCCATTTGAATGGTTGCTGTGCCTGTGTGTTGACCAGACATGATAACCCCTCTTTCAGACATGAACAGTAACAGGATTTTTCAGACTTCTGTGACAATCATTTTGCTTTATTCTGGGTGCCTTTATTTTCCAAATGGGGTTAGTAATATCACAACAATAACCAAAGCTGTAATCCTTGAGCTGTTTTCTGTGTAGGAGACTGTAGTCTGTACTGTTATAGACTTACTTCATTTAGAGTAGCACATGCTCTTGTCTGATGTAAATGACAATAGTGAGTGAAGAGGCCACAGCAGGAAGCTGTTGTACTGAGGAACATGGTTACCAAGTTGCTGTCCAGTAGATTCATGTTTTCCTGCACTCTAGGAGAGCTTTTGCTGCAATTAGAGCTCACCTGTGTAAGCTCTTTCATTCAGTGTGAATTGAGTTTACATCAATGGCTACATGACGCCCACAGCTGTTAACATGCTAATCTTGCAATATCTGGGAGTACAGATGAGCCAGCTGTGAAGTTATTTCTGAGCTGGGTGTGGCAGCACACACTTAAAGCAGGAGGATTATAAATTTGAGGCCGGTCTGGACTATACAGTCAAACCCTGCCTCAAAAATCAGAAACAAAAATGAAAGATGTAAGAAAAAAGTGACTTCTCTACACTAAAATTTTTAATTCTAAATGTAATTTCAATTTATCTTTAAGTAATCCATAAAATCAAAATTATACAGGTTAATGGGGGTATCTTGGGAGTGTTTTGAAGCATGTTTATATTAGGTGACATTTAAAACAAATTAAATATATTTATTTAGATGACAAAGATTCTCAACGTCTACTGACTCAAAGCCAAAAGACAAATTATAATATCCAAGGCTGTGAGAAATGCCTGACTGCAGGGCTCCTTGCAAACATCCTAAAATATTAATTGTACTAGTGTTTTTATGCATATTTATTTTGTGTATGAGTGTATTGACTGCATACATGTAAGAGAACCTATGTAGTGCAGTACCTGCAGAGGCTAAAAGAGGATGTCACATCCCCTGGACCTGGAGCGACAGATCGTTGTTAGCTGCCATGTGGGTACTGGGTATTGAACCCAGGTCCTCTGCAAGAGCATCCAGTGGTCTTAACCTCTGAGCGATTTCTCTAGCCCCATCTGTTGTGACTGTTTTATTTCTGTTTAGTGTTCTAGATGCAATTAAAAATCTTTTTCAGGGATACAGATATGGTGCTAGAGGAGAAATTGCTGTTCCAATTTATTTGTGATTTCCTAGAAGAGGGAAATTGTGGAAGGATATTCTGTCCTCCACATGCAGTTGGAGGCGCAGTCCAATTCTGTCAATTCATTCCTGCTAACATTTAGGATATGATATCAAACCCATGCAATGCTCTCTTGTCCCTAATTGCCACCAAATTTAGCTATGTTGAAAAGAGATTTTTACACGAACACTGACTGATGTGCTGTTTATACACATCTTTGTTTTTATTTAATCAAAAAAGTCACATTTATTTTCCTAGTTATATCTTGAAATACAGATTAAATATGTTTCTCAATCATATTTTGAAGCAGAAAAAGCCATCTGAATCTGACAAGTACTTTGTGAAGTGTTGTCTGTAGATACCTGTCGTTTCAATGCAGAAAACAAATTTTACTCAAATTTACATTTCGACATGCATGAAAAATAATAGAAGACAGAACCTAGAATTCAGAAATGTTCTGTAGAATTGCCCTCTTCAACACTGCAGGATTGTAGGTACAAAGAAAAGCATTCTTTCAAGAGATTCATAGGTATTAACTTCATATTAATAAGAAGTTAAGGAATGCTGTATATTCTAGATTCGTATTATTAAGGTATGGAGGAAATTAATAAATATATGATCTTTTATTTATAACTGTAATTCATAACAATTACTTGTCTTAAAAAAGTGTGGTAAATTTTACATTTCATTTTTCAAACCAATTTCATATTTGTGGATGGTATATAATCTTGTGTCCTGTCCTAAGGCAAGCAGTTATCCAGATAGTTCCATTTTTCTGGTGTCTTTAGGAGAGCACGTTTTCATTTGCACAGCCACATCTCTTATATATGCTATAGGTTTAATAATCTGGATCAGAAAGTGACTGCTGTAAGCCACAGTCTGTTAGCATTTGGCAGGGAGATCATTGCTGTTTGGGGAAAAGTGAGATTTGCGTCACATCACTAGTATGTGTTTCAACTTGTAAAATGCAAAGAATCGAAGCAGAGTAGGAACCATTTGAGACTCTCTTTTCAGTACTTATTTAAGAACTGCTGAACAGCATAAGAAGGCAAACATTGACACGTTACATGAGAAGGAGGTGTCAGTAGAGTAGCGCACCCCAGGCACGGCTTAAAGAAGGATCGCTTCTGCTTGTGTCTGCACTCGAGTTTTCTCTTTGGCATTAAGATTTTTATTTTAGAGATTTACTCTAAAGTAAAATAGAAAGATGCCATTCTCACCATGGGAAACCTCCTACTTCTTTATCTCCTCCTTTGTCTTCTCTCTCATCTTCAAGCTATCTCTTCATATCAGAAGTCTTACTGAGTAAGTTGAAGTAACTGACTATGTTATTACAGTCATTTTATTTTGTTCAACATAAAAATTCAATGATAAATACAGAGAGAAATGATAGACAGGGTGGGAGAGAGATTCAGTGTTGCAAATGTAAATAATAAATAGATGGCAAACTTCTCCAAATGCCTGAATCGCAGCCTCCCACCTCCATCTTCCCAATATACCATTTATAAATAGTATAATGAAGATAGAGATTTACACCGTTTTTGCCAAGAAAAACTTCATGATGTTCAATATAATATTGAATGTATTCTGTCTTACAGAAATCTGTCAGCCATCTGGGGTTTAAGAGCTTAAGCCTTACTAAAGAATACATTTGACTAAAATGTAGTTACAGTAGCTGTCTTTGATTTGCAGGTACAATTCTGGTGGACAACATGCTGATTAAAGGAACCGCAGGAGGACCAGACCCTACCATAGAGCTCTCTTTGAAGGACAACGTGGACTATTGGGTGCTGCTGGACCCAGTTAAACAGATGCTGTTCCTCAACAGTACTGGCAGAGTCCTGGATAGAGATGTCAGTGACGTTTTATTTTTCTTTGTCCCTATGTGAAAGCTTTATTATAATTCCAATGTCTACATTGCTCTCTCTGTATGGTATTAAATTTTCTTCATATATCTCAATTTGATTTACTGAGCATAGCAACAAAAGGAAATGTAACTCCTTGGAATAAGAATAAGGAAGGAATATTCAGAGAAAGAATACATTTCCCATTTAATACCCTGGAATTATGTTCTATTTCTGAACTAGAGAACAGGCTACAAAGAATAGAGAAGTGGTGACATTGTCCAGAATATTCATCCAGTTGAGCTGCATTCACCCCCAAACATGTCAAAATGAGGGTACCCCTCTGTTGGTAGCTTGTGGACAGAGGTTGGTGTGTGCTCTCACACACAGCCCCTGCCACAGGCGTGCATTTTTGCTGCTGGCTTCTGGGCGAGAGTTGGTGTGTGCCTTCACGCCCGGCTGTCAACACAGTAGTAGGAGGAGGACAGCATCATGCTTTTAAGGCTGTTAGAAAACCAAAAGGTGAGCAAGAGTCCTAGCAAGGTTGTGATTAATCATTTTCAGACAGCCAAGCAGAAGCATTTTATGAATAAATTGCCAAAGTTGTTGAACATATTTCTGAAAAAGTATTGGTGGATTGGTGTCTCAGTGAAGAACCTTTGATCTCAACTATATCCATCCTAGTTTTCTTGGGGACAGAGAATAAAAGTGAAAATGAGCAGATGGTACCACCAAGGAGGGAGGGAAACCGAGCCCTTGAGGAGAAGCAGGCGTCCCTCAGGACCCCCCCCCCCCACAAAGCCCAAACCTCAGAGCAGGCAAAGATCAACTCCAGCCACCGCAAACCCCTGGGCAGGTGTGTGGCCCACCTCTAACAGGATTCATGGCCCACATCACAGGGTGGATGCCCTTTGATCCTTCATGGCTTCCATGTGCAGTCTTTGGGAAGTGTACTTGCCTTTTATTTTACTTAGTTCACTGTGTCCTTTAGAACTTTGAATCCCGAATTCTCATGACTTGCTCTCTCGGCTGCCAGGTATTTTTAGGGTCCCATTCATCACAGTGAAAGGCTTTTTATCTACAGTTTTACGCGACACCCACTGACTGAGCCATCCGCAGGGAAGGCCTGCTAGTCCGCTAGTGAAGCAGATCCGAGCTTTTACCCCACTCCGACATGCAATTCGAAATTGTTATTTAACTTAGTTGTCAAAGAACAAAACTCAAATGTGAAATCTACCAGAAATTAAACATAATGGAAGTGACTTAACAAATCGGAAAAATAGCTGTTAGTATTTAAACTGCAGCGTATTATTCTAAGGAAACATTACAATATAAACCTAATGCTTATTCATTTAGATTGGCTCTGGTTCTACATTATACTCTCAGCCCTCTTTAAATCATAGTTTTCCATGAACATATGATTAGACAATTTTCTAATACTCATTTGTATTGAACAGTCAACTTAACATTGAGGTTAAGTTGTTTTTGATCATTATAAGGATGCTGCAATGACAGTTTTTGTCCACATATCTTGAATACTTGTTTAATGTTTTAAGAAAGATAAATTCATTTACCTTCATTACATTTTAAGAAACGGTCTTCTAAATATATCTGTACATGTCTACACCAATGCTGATAGTTATGTTCTTTAAAATATAATGAAATTTTGTTAAACACAATATGTAATAATTATTAGTGCATATTGATCGAATGTTAATGGATTTCTTTATGAAATTTCCATACAAGCATTTATGCCCTTTGATCATCCCTGCATCTCTCTTAGTAACCCTGTCTACCCTCCCAACTCCTCTCCTTAGTCTCTGGACTTTTTTCTTCCATATTCATCTCTCTACTATATTAGGAGTTTTTGTGATGTAGTTTTCATTATAAAGCAATGTGGAATTTTTCAGAAGGCATTCTCTGAATCCAATGAAATGACATTGCAATTTTTATTCTTGATTCTATTTATGTATCATGTTATTTTGTTGATTTGCCTAGGTTGAACCATGCTTACATTCTTAGAATGAAACCAATCAGTCAAGAGCATTCTTTTTTTTGAAATATTTTATTTTTATTGTATGTGTATGCGTGTATTGCCTGAATGTGTGTAAGTGCACCCATGTTGCATAATGCCTGTGGAGGTCAGAAGAAGGTGGCAGAAACCCTGGAACTGAACTTTGGATGGTGATTAGCCGCCATGCGGGTGCTGGGATTTGAACTTGGGTCCTCTGTAAGGGCAGCCAGTGTTCTTAATCACTGAGCTGTCTCTCCAGCCCCAAGAGCATTATCTTTTATACTGCTTTTTGAAATTGATTTGCAAATATTTTACTGAGAATGTTTGTAAATATGCTCATTAAAAACATTGATTTTGGGGGCAGGGAAGGATGGCTCAGTGGTTAAGAACACTGGTCTTGAAGAAGACCTGGGTTCAAATCCCAGTACACACATGGCAGCTAAGAACTGTCTGTAACTCCAGTTCTAGGGGATCCAACAGCTTCTTCTATCCTCTGTGGGCATTGCATGACACGGGTGCACTTACCTACATGCAGACATAACACTCATACACATAAAATAAAAATAATAAATAAGATATTAAAAACGTTGATTTTTAGTTTTCTTTTTGTTAATTCCTAACCTGGTATTGGTCATGATTTTACTGCCTTGTATTTTAACATTTCACATAACTTAATGTGGAAAACTTTTCTGTTTATACTTTGTTAAAT